GGTCGGCTGGTTCGTTAAGCCTAACGAGCTGAACACGAACAAATTTTTAAGCTCACAATGTAAACGAGCCAAACACGAACAACTGTTTGTTCGCTCATTTCGGCTCGAAATGGCTCGAAAAAAAATGATATAATTTTTTATATAACAATATATTACATATATTATTTATATAATAATATATTATATATATTTATGTCTAATTTTAAATCATAACACCTCATGTGGCAATGTGGTTAGTGTCTTCTTTTGTATATATTTGATCTAGGTTCGAATCTCACACTTTACATCTATTTTTTTCAATTTTAGTTTAACAAACTAATTTCGAGCCGAACACAAACACGAATATTTAAATTGAGTCGAACACGAACACACTGTTCACGAGCCTATTTCGAACACGAGCCGATTTCAAACACGAGCCGATTTCGAACACGAGCTATTTCGAACGAGCCCAGCTTGAGCTCGCTCAAGCTCGGCTCGTTTATAGCCCTATTCATAATGACCAATATCTCTGAATTCACTATTTTCACATACTCAAAAATGAGATGTGCGTACATAAATTCATGTTTATAGAATTCAATTAAAGTGATTAAATTTTTCTCTCTGATTCTTATTACTTTCTATACTGTCTGATTGAGATAAACATGCATTACATCTTGGGAGAGTGATGTTCATTCTCTTATTTATCAGAGAAAATATAAGTCTCTTATGAAGAGGCTGGGCTATCCAAAAAGTTCGTTGTTCGCGAACAGTTTGTGTTTGGTTCGCCAATGTGTTCGTGTTCGTTTCATTCGACAAGTAAAAGAGATGAACATGAATAATTTTTTTTCTTTTGGTTAATTAAACGAACCAAACACGAACAGTTATGCATTCGTTCATGTTCGAAATATAAAATAATTTTAAATATTATATTTAAAAAATTTATGCTACTTTAAAAAATTAAAATATATAAATTATAATATATACTAAATTAATAATAAAAATATATTAATATACTATATTAGTAATATATAGATATTATATATTTATATAATATAAGTTATATAATTAATATAATATATTATTTTTATATATTAATATTAGGGATGTCAAATTGACTCGTCGTTCGCGAACAGCTCGTGTTCAGCTCGTTCGTTAAGAAATGAATACGACCAGTGCGAACACGAACAATTTTGAACACAAGCTTATTTCAAACAAACTAAATTTCAAACGAACCGAACAAGAACACAAACTCTGTTTGTTCATGTTTGATTCGTTTACACCCATATAAAGAGGTACAACATTTCTCTTATTTATTAGATAGACTATAAGTTTTTTGATAAGAGATACAACATTTATCTTAATTATTGATTATTAATCACTATCTATTATGATGATTATTGACCAATACAATTAATTAATTAATAAAAACGAAATGATGCGGTGTCTGTTGGGATGAGACATGACCCTTTTCTATTTAATTAAATAATTAATTATTATTGTTAAAATAAATGACGGTGGGTTGCACAAATAATAAAAAACTAATATTTTCTCACTTTGCCCATATAATACTTAATGGTGCATAACATACTACACTGAATGTAATGTATATTCATTATTTATATCAGTTAAATCATAAACCATCAATAAGTATGAAGTTTAGATTAATCAAAGCGGTTATGCATCAATTTATCAACACAATTCATTCAATGTATCACAATATCAATTATATACTTAACATAATGAGAAAAAATATCATAATCTCATAATGTTTATTAAAAGACAAACCTCGTTAAACAATATAAAACACACACTAGCAATAAAAATAATAAACATGAATATTAGAAACAAAAATAAACGGAGCTTAAAGTGCCAGACATAAAGAGCATTAAACATAAGCTAATAAAGAGTATTTGTAATGTTAATTCTTATAATATGTTTGTTAAATGTCTACAGTGACAATATTTTCATTAATTTATCTACAATCATAAGCTCTATGCTAATATGCTCAATTGACACCATATGTTTTTGAACTTATTCTTTAACGATAATATACTTTAATTCTATGTGTTTAACACATTCAGAATACCTATTGTTTTTAGAAAAGAAGACTACTACGAATTTATCAGAGTAAATTTTCAACGGTTTAGCAGTACTTCCGATAATTCCAAGTAATGAAATAAATTTTTGCATCCATAAGGCCTCTGTTGTAGTTTCAAAGCATATCACAAATTCGTCTTCCATAGTGGATGCAACGATGATAGACTGCTTCGCACTTTTCAATGAGATTGCTCATTCAACAAAAATAAGATTTCATTGCAGATTGTTTTATTTTATCCAAGCGTGTGTCGAATTATAGTGCAACACTAAGACGATAATCAATTACTCTACAGCTATAAATTTTATAGCACACATCAACAATCTTACAGAGTTGGGTAAATGTCTTTTATATTACAATTGTTTTGGCTATTCATAATTTTCCCAAATTTTTTCCTAAATTCAAAAGTGTATGTATACTTTTAAATGTTAAATATAAGTTTTCGTTTAGATGTTAAATGTAATATAATAAATAAATAAAATATGATATATGCATACATACGAGAGTCCTTCATCGATTATACTGACAGAGGAATTCAGCGTATCCATGGATGAAAATGTAAAATTAAAAATGTTGTTAATCTTTTTGGTGGGTTAGAAACAATCAAACATATATTTTTACAAAGTACATATTTAGATGACCATACTCAATAATAGAAAATATAACATAAATAAATGAAAAGAAATAAACTTATTTTTTTGCTCCTAACTTTTCTTACATAGATTTTATTTTTAATGCACTTTTAAAATGGAAATTATTGCAATTTAAAAATAATTTGTTCATTGAGTAATTTAACTTAAATCACAGTTGCTAATATGTTTATGCGTAATCAGTTATAGATTAGATGAATCTCAGAGAGTAAGTGTACAGAGGCACAAACTTACAGATATTGCAGGTTAATTTAGTTTATTTTTTGTTTAAATAAAAATATTGAAATATGAATAATCTGTCATAAAAATAATAATTATAATTTTATAAATAAAATGACAGTTTGTGCTGTAAATTTTTTTTAATAAAACAAAATGGCAAGAGAAGATTGTTCCATGCGACAATCAATTCACACTCTTAATAATTTAAAATGCCCATGCGAATCAAACTAACAGGTAACAAGCATTTCGTGAATGACCAACCCCCGCGCCAACCGTAACCCGGGAGTAGAAAAATTAATTTCAGTTTATCCGAAGTTGAAGTCGACGAGAAAACATCCTCGAGGCGGGAAATCCAGCTCGTTTATGGGCATGCAGTCAGTTGCGACAAAAACCCTAATTCACTAGCAAATGGGAAATGGTGTGACTCTACCGTCAACCTTCTCCAGGGCCGTTGATTACTTTGACCAAGCCATTTGGGTGCTTGAGATCGTCATGCTTCTCTTGCTCTGAAGCCGGTGCACCTTGGATCGCCCGCTCGTATGCGGGAAACCGCTGTCTCTGTGCTTCGCCGGTTTGGAGAAAGCGGATGGATCTGCATAATGATGGAGATAAGGTGAAACTGAGCCTTCCCACTTCCATCGTCTCGTTTCAAGGGGATGTTTGTTTCCTGTTTTAAGGCAAGATTTAAGAGGCTGTTTTGCACAAGGTTTTGAGCAGGATTAAAGGAAGGTTTCTTCACTCTTGCCAAACAGTTTTATTTTTATTTTTATTTTGGTCGAAGTTAAAATTGGCAATACGTGTAAATCCTGTTTTTTTGGTGCTTTCACTTCAATCGCAGTTTTCTTAAATCCAAGGGGAAAACGGATATAATGGTTGATCTGGCTCAGAAACATCCGGAGTATATTTTTTTGGATTTGGAGCAGGATTTATCCTGGCTTTGACCTCAACCCTGCCAGACGGTCAGTTTGGATAAAATAAAGCTGCGGATTTCACTGATTTTGGCCATAAATACCGGATTTACTAATTCCGCCGATTCACAGGATTTAGCTCTAATTGCGGAAAAAAATATTACATCAGAACTCCTCACGTAGAGCTACGGTAACACAAGGGAATATTCGTGTTATTGGTGTTATTTTATGTTATTCATTGGACTGCATTTCGAGGGTTCGGCCACGAAGGCGATGGTTTTGGGCGAAACCAGGAGAGGGATAGGGACGTAGGCGAGCTTTTTGGGCTAAAGCTAAACCCAAATGGCTAAAAAAAAAAAAACTTAAGCAAGGTTTAATTTGTATCCATCCAAATTACAAAAATGGCATGTTTAAATCATATAGAATCTTAAATCCCGTTTTCCCTCTTTTACCCTAAGTTATAGGCTTATAAAATCCGGCATTGACCGGATTTAGCTCACCAACTCTTCTCCATCACGCTGTTGATCCCATCGGCACCCTTTCAAAC